CAGCTGGTTATATATTTTGTTGATCATCCCTACCGTGTGTTTGAAATCGCTTAGCCGAAGACCAGCATAAGGTATATTTGTAAACTGTTGATATAGTGCTTTCTTATTTCGAACACAGAGACGTCTCATGAACATTTGAATAGTGTCATTATAATCGTCTTCGGTGATTGTAATAACTGCTATCACTGCATGAGTTCTACTCTCTAAACGACTTAACAGGTAAGTGAACTTTCGCACCGCTGGAAAATATAATGAATCTGCTGTCAAACAGAAACAACTTCAAAATTCCATGCAGCTTTCAGGAACTCTATCAAATATCAGAATTTTTAGTTGAGGCAATTTAATGTTTAATGAATCCCTGATAACTTTGGTGGACATCAAAATGGCTACTTGCAACCTCTTAAAAATATTTACAGACTTTGCCTTAGAAACGTTCAGTTGAATGTTAATTTTATGAACTTGTTCAACAAATCTCGAAAAGTTGCTGTCTTCAGTGCGTTCTTCGTATAATTTTTCTCCGAACCTCCTCTTGTGCTTCCGATAAATTCTTCAGTGGCGGACATCTCCTCTAACGACAGTGATCTGATCGACCAATGACGCCTTCCTGACAGCTCTTTTCGTATCTACCAAATTCTAACACTTCTTATTCTCTCTCTTTCGAACATCTTTTCTACGACAACTATTAACATGTATTCTCGCAAACATTTCCGTAAGCAACATAGTCTTAGGAATACAGACTAATATCAACTGGAGTGAAATGCCCCGATAGGGATCTATTATACTTGTCCTGTAGTCTTCTCATGACTTGTAGTAAACATTATGAAGATTTTTTTTGATTTGTACAGCCTGCATAATTAAATATTTAGCGGTAATTCTTCTCTTCTGCAGCACTCAATTTTGAGCAAATCTAACCTCTGTTAGTCATTAGCAGTCATTAGTCTTTTGTAAAACTTAGTTTGTTGCAGTATCTGGTTTCATATTGTAGGGTAGGCTTAAATTCTTTCTTCTTTGATCAGTTGCGAACTGAATGGTTGAGAAAACTTTAATGAGGCAAACTTCTTTGATCGAATAAACTTTAACTAAGTAAATTAGAAATAGTCGCAAATATATCTTTGAAGTTATATTGAGTTAACAAAAAAGTACGATCACTAGTAGATTAGAAACAGAACAAATCAAATTGACAAAACAACTCAATAGAGGAATATGGCTCAGAAGACAGAGACAAACAGTTGTGTTAAAAATATCTGAGGAAGTCTAAAGGATAAATTTTTCTAGAAGTAGATATAGTAAGAAGTAAATATAAAGTCATATATAGTAAAAATAACATTTCAAACAGCCTTAGAAAAAAAAATATGTTTTTAAATTTTTCAAAAAAGACAAATTTTGTGTAGAATGTTTTGCTCTGCAACATATCAGATTCTGGTGATGGCGATTTTTTGATACCTCGAGTTGTGAGCCAGAAAGAGATGTAAAATTGAAAAAAAACTCACTATTTTTATAGAAATTTCAAGTATTTTACATAAAGAAACAGTCTGGAGTTGCTTCTAAAAGCCGTAGACACCTGCTATAAAAATACAATATGCTTTAAATACTGGAAATTTGTTACAAAAGTTGTGTTTTACTTCAAAATATTAAAAAACTATTATTCTGCAGGGTTGTAAAAAGTAGTTTTTATTCTAAGGTTTTTTTTACAGGATTGCGAGAAATTTAGATGGCGCTTGAATGTATCAGTTTTTCACTGCTATCTTGCTGAAATAAATTTAACGAGTTTTTCTTGGGTAATAATAGTAGGTTGTCAATCAAGGCTTTAACAGCATCGAATTTTCTACTTTTTTTTTTACCGTTCTCGACATTTAATAGTCCTCTGTAGCACGGAAAGCCCTACCATTCCCATTACTAGTTATCGCGCCGTTAACACCGTTTCACCGTCTGTTTTACTGAAACATTCATCCCACTTGTCACTTCGCGAGAAGTAATCTTCATTCATTTCTCCGCTGCTTCAACCGTAAGCAACAGAAGATTTGTAACACTAAGCTGACAAACTGAATTTGTTAGGTAATGTTTAGATTTCCTTTGTATGTGTGGCAAAGTATATTGGCCATTCCATTTTATATCTACTTAGAAGTAGATATGGAAGTCTCTCTATTAAATTTTATTAAGATCAGACTAAATTATGGCTAAATTAAAGGTCCGTAAAGTTAGACGTGTCAAGCAGCAACCTGGCAAATTGCGCAAATTTGATGAGGTGTAACTTGGCGGGGAATTCATTTTTTCAAGTTTTTTTTCGGCCTTCTGTACTGTATTTTGGCCTGGACTCTACCAGTCAGCGAAATTTTAAAGAAATCTGAGATTTGAAGGGAAAAAAGTGTGCGATTTGGCATGGAATGGCCCGTATATTTTGATTACTCTATAATGAACTGAGTCAAAAGCCTGCTTTTTGGCGCGGTTTCCTAATAGCACAAAATAGAAATAGCTTTTAAACATCTTTTTTAAGTTATTAAAAAACTGTTCTTTTTCTTGTTTTTCTTTTTAAATTAAACTATGTTGAAGAAGCATAACAGAAGACTACACGGAACGCTGTTGAGGTCGTTTTTCAGAGTGTAAAGTTACGTTGTGCTCCACAATAAGCATACACTGCATTGTTTTTGCTGAGGTGCGGAAAAACAATGGCCACTTTTGAAGTATTTTATATTTTGCTCTTTTTTTTTATGCTTTACCTCAATTTCTTCCTATATTTAAGTTCGTTGGAAAGGGATTTAATCTTTGAGCCATGCAGTAAATGCAAGGGTTTTTAGGGAGAGGGTTTCTGGTCATGTTAATCCTATTGCTAGTGCCTATAATCTGTTTAGTGGTATTGCTTTAAATTCTCAATATATAAAGTCAACTATTATTTTAATTTACTTTTGTTGGCTTCTGTTGTGATCACTCGGCTTTTGAAGAAGACAATAATAAATTTTTTGTTCTGCGGAGATATTCTGTACTTTAATTTTGACCATACTTTTACTGACGTTCTCTACAAAAAAGTTTGGGTGTTTTTTTATAATTATTACGAGTAGAGGAAGTGATGCTGAAACTAAATAATTGTAGTTTTTATATTTCTCATGCTATGTAATGGCTTTTTAAGGTACTCAGGTAAATTAGAGATTAAAAAATCGTTGAAAACCTAATGAGGCAAGACATTTCTTTTAAAAATGTGTAAAAAGGACCTTGTTAGCAGCTGTTTAAAACCGCAGAGTAACAGTTTTGCTTGTGAAGACCAGATGAACTGTTTTAGGCAAATTGATTTAAGTTTTTCCAGTTCTTCAAAGATGTTGCAACGCTTGTTTGGAGTCGTTGGGTGCTTCAGCCTTTCCTTTGTGCGAAGCGTAAAAAATTTTGGTAATTCAATAGTGTGCAGAAGTTACGGTGTAACGGAGGGTTTTAACTGGTAAGATGACATGAGGATAGTTTGGATAGTGGTATTAATAGGGCTTTTACGCGTTTAAGGAGCCGAACGAATGAAACAGCAAGTTGGGATTAGATGTAATAACTGATGAGTGATTGTAGCGAAGGTAATGAGTAATCTAGTCTAAACTGCGAGTTAGTGCGAAAGTATCGTTGGTAATCAAGAGGAAATTTGTTGAGGGGCTACTGCATTATCAGTGCTTTATCATGCTCAGCACGTGAATTGTTAACGACCCGAATGTTAGGCAGTGTTGCAAATTACATAATTTGCTTTTTGTCCTGATAACCGTCATTTTAGTCTACACCTTGTGTAGAAAGGCGTTTGTTCTCGCATTGGAGTTGTTTACAAGAGTTTTGAAGAACGACGTATTCAGCTTTTTTAGTTCTTACATATTATTATGAATTTTAAGCTCAGGGGCAAAGTAAGTAGTTTTTACATAAATCTACTGTGTTTATAATGGGCATTAAACGTGAATTTTATTGTTGACATATGGATTGCTTTTCATCTTCAAGTGAATTTGAAAACGTTGACTATTCTCGATTCAAATTTGGTATACTCTGCTTAAAGATCCTCTTTTATTTTGAACTCTATCGTCCTATACTGGACAATTTTAATTCTCTACCTTTGCAATCTTTTATGTACTTCCGTAGTAATATTTGAAGTTCTCTTAAATTTTACTGATATATGCAATAAAATAATCTATTTACATTATGAAGATTTTTATGAATATGAGTTGTACATAATAACCTTCTTTCTGTTTGATGGCGGCTTCAAAAAAGTTGCTTTTGCGCAGATATAGTATGGAAGATTGCTCTCAGTGGCATTTGTATTATGGGTAAATTTCAAAACTTAATTTTTATGGGTTTTTCAATGCTTTACAGTCACTGTTAAGCTACGTAAATACAAAAATAAAGAAATATGAATAGAAAAGCGGTTTGATTCATAATCGGTGTCTGTGAGCGCTTGCTTATTTATTAGCAAAGTTGATGAACTGATTAAAAAAACTAGTGGTTTTCTGTTGCTTCTTTTTTACCTTCTTCTCTGGCACTCTATTTTGTTTCTGTTACTTGTTTCTTGTTTATCAACTTGGCCGTCTTTGAAACTTATTTTTCAAGATTTATTGATATGGAACTGCGGCATTACTATCTATGATTGCAATTTTTTTAATAATGAACAAGTCTACACTAAGCTTTGCGCAGCTTTTGTTTAGTGTTATATAATGCAAAAATAATCAGAAAAGTAAAGCGTAACAGTGATGTGGCTACGTCGTAGAAATGAAAGTGAAGCGAAGGAAAGCAAGATTGAAGTACGGGCGAAGATAGGTTAAAGTGTGTATTATATTGAACATCACAAATACTGTTAACACTTTTTGGTAGCTTTAGTGGTTGCAAAGCAACAGGTTGGTTTCGCCATTGTTAGAATTCTTCCATACATTTTTGTCTACAAATGTTCTTGACTCGTATGTTGATAAATTCAATCAGTTTTTCCACTAATTTGTTGTGCGCTTAGTTGATAATTTACTAGACGTACATAGATAAAATCTGATTTTAGGGAGATGAGTGGGGAAAGCAGAGATATTGTTGTCCCTACTACTAGTGGCTACAAAACCATAGATAATAATTGTTCATTCGATGATCCTCCAGCCGTTTTGAGCGGTGTCAAAAACCAAACTATTCGTGAAGTAAAAGTCTTCTGCATAAATTTTGTCTCATTTTCTTATTGAAAAAGCAGCTTCAATAGCTTTACCTCACCTTAGGGATGAAACAGTCGAAAAATCCGAAGACCATTCAAAAGAATTTTTTAGATTGTAATCACTGCAGTGGTTATGCTGGGTGTTGCATTGTCATGGGCACTTAGTACTCAGTTTGGAAAAACGGCACTAAATTTCAAAGACAGCTTTTATGCTCCGTACTTTTTGATGTGGTTTAGCACTAATTTTATGGCGACTTGTTATCCAGCATATATTTTCTACGCAATCATCAAAAAGCGTTGTAACATGGAGGAAGTGGGAGAATTGCATGAGTAAGTTACTTCCTTCCGCAAGTTAGGTATGCTTTGTTATTTCAGTTGCAATAAAGTCGTTTTAATTTTAAAATTCTTTTTTCTCAGTCTGTGTCATTAACTTCACTTTTTATGTAGTCATTTGATCACATTTCAGTGCATTAGGCTTTTAGTGATACTCACGACCTAGTTTGTAAATCTTTACAGAGGGGCTATGATGGTTTATGGTCAGATGACTTCTAGAGTGAAAGGTTTTTTTCTGCGCACGTCTTTGTTCTTATTGTTCTGGACAGGGGCAAATTACTCGTATTCTCAATCTCTGGGCCACATATCAGCTAGTGCCACAACAGCTATAATGAGCAGTAATGCAGTAATGGTTTGCGTTTTAGGCTGGATCATATTGCACGACAAGTTCGTGCCGCTAAGGGTAAGATCTTTTCGTTGAGCTGAATTTTTACTGTGTTTCTTGATTTTAGCTTACAGTTAATGTATCATTTTGTAAAACAAAAGTGGTGTTAGATAATTAATACTTTAATTTTTCAGCTTATTTCGGTAGCTGCTGCAGTTGGTGGTGTTGTTGTGATGTCAATGGACGACGAATTTGTTGGTAGCGTACTCGGGATTTGTCTTTCTTTACTTTCCGCGTTTTTGGCTGCTGTTTATAAGATAAGTTTAATTAGTGCACGGTATTTGGAAAGTAGACTCGGCAAAAAAATTTATTCAACTCTGTTCTTTCGTTTAGTTTGCTAATTTTAGGTACTTTTTAAGAAGGTGATTGGTGACGCGACCCTAGGTCAGGTTTCATTGTTCATGTCTGGATTGGGTTTGATGAACGTTATTGTTAACGCAGTTCCGGTATTTACATTAATTGGAACTGGAACGGAACGTGTTGAATGGTCTGATGTGCCGTGGACACCCCTTGTCGCATCTGCGGCACTTTCTCTTCGTAACTTAATTTATTTCGACTTTTTTAACTCTCTGTAATTCTGCGGCATGACTATTGTTTCGTAATAGAAAGAACTAATTTTGCACCCCGCTTTTTCCCCTACCTAATGCCACTTCGCCTTGTACAGCTACATTCGAGGGGACTAACAATTTGATAGTTAAATTTATTGCGAGGAATGCTGATTAAGCGGTAAATGGCTAGAAGAATTGGTTAAAAAATTGTTAGCTTTTTTGATGCAACGCGGATTTTCAAAATCAGGTTCTGCCAGCTTTTAAATGTGGAATTATTTAAGATAGTTCCTGTAGAAACCGATTTTTACGAACGATATTTCAAATTCTATGCAGTCTTGCGATAAAAATGCTTAACAGGCAGTAGATTACATGAAAAAACCAGTTTTTACTTAACGGGTACAAGTTCCGCGAATGGCAGTCTTGTAAAACATATTTTCCGGAAACTTAACAATTTCAAAATACTTATCTGAGTATAAATTTATGCACTATCTATGCACAGACATAACAAGAGTAAAAAAAACCATTTTAGGTATGCGTTTAAAAAAAATCTTTTTTATTTTTAGGAGTAAATAAATGATACTGCATTTCTTTTGCACGATGTACGTTTGCATACCACTGTTTCCGTAAGGGAGAAGTGTTTTCAAAGCTAAGGAGGAAAAACATATAAAGGGTTGTTGATCAGCGAACAAATGCTTACCTGCCAACTGCTACAGCACTTTCTGAGACACTGCAAAACTATATCGTCAGAAATGCAGAATGAAAATTTTTTGATTCATCGTGTGAAAAAAAAAAAGATGAGTAGAACAATCGTTCTGCAATTTTTAAGCTTGCCAAAAAAATAAACGACATAGCTGGAGTTAAAATATATTGTCCTATAAAAGATAGATTTAGAACTGTAAGGTTCATGATTTCAGTGTTCAATTTCTTGCTTGACTTCGGTGTAGCTTTACTCCATCCACTTGTCATATCAGTAGGAATGCTGTTGGGTATTCCAATAAGCGCAGGTTTGTTTTCACAGCAAGTTTTGCAAGTTTCAGCGGTTTTAGTTGAACTTGCGATCTTACGCTTTTGGTACCTAAATTGAGTCAAATAGGTATTTTAGTTCACTTGAAACTTACGGATATAGTTCTTTTAGGAGTAGACATAATAATTCGCCATATGGAGGCCACCCCGTACTTCATTTCTGGTGCTCTTTTGATCCTTTTGTCATGCGTTCTAATTATACTTCCACTTCACCGCATTAAATTTAGACGACAAGGACTGAAGAATTCTGTCAACGATTAGATAGGATTCCTCATACTGCTCAACAGATTGTTTTTTATACCCCTTAATCAATGACTTCTTGTAAATGAAGTTTTTCAATCCTCACTTCATAGCCCAACGACTAGTTGTTATTCTTCATTTTCCGACTTCAAAAAATCAATTTTTTTCTTTTTTCAAATTTTTTTATCTGTATTCCTTTTCTTGCTTGGTATTTTTTGCAATTTGGTGTGATATCTATCTATCTCCTTTGTTCCCTAGTGCGATCTTGGACTTTCTGAATTATCTGTATTTTTATTGGTAATTGTAATACTGGATAAAAATTTCCATAATTGGAGTCTCTGCATTTTATAGAAAGATTTCGACAGGTGATAGTGGTCATGGTAGGACTAATAAAGACGCAGTTGGATGGTATAAGAGACTTATCCAGAGGCGAGTGATACAATGGAGCCCACAGGTTCGAAAGCTTGACGCATATGCCATGACACCGCGTGTACAGCAAGGCTAGGTTGCTTTACTGCTACTATAATTGTAAGAGAACTTCTTACTTATCGCATTTAGTAGTTTCAAATAAATGTATCATGCCCGAGCACTAGATGGTTCCGGTCTCAAAGTGTATTGCTGCGTCGTGGTGCTGTCAACCTCTGCTGTATACGAGCGTTTTGTCGTAATGTCCAGCCCCGCAATGCGTGAGATCGATGCGTTTTTTGGAATCTGCTTTTAGAGAGTTCATAAGGAAAGAGGCCAGCACAGATCTGAGCAGTTTGATCAGATGGAGCGTGCTTAGGCGACGAACCCCGCATTAAAATAGGCATTTTAGACCAATGAAGCCATAGAACAAAAACGAAGAAGCATATTCTGAAAATAAGCGATAAAAATCAGTACGCAATTGGGAAAAGTCAAGCACCTTTGAGCAAACCAAAACTGTTGGCCTTTAAAAATATAAAAATTATGAAAAAATAAAAAAATTGTCAGGTAGGTTATAAATGGTAATTACTTAACTTTGGGCTGCACGTATAGACAGGCGTGGTTGGGAATCCGTAAAAGAGTGCTAACAAGAAAGGTTGTTTACTCATGAAGATTGCGACGTATATCATGACGCTATTGGTGCCTTACAGCATGATCGCGCAATTTATTGTAATGCACATATTCAGAACTGTGTATAAGGATTTCCTAATTATCAGAGGATCATTGTAGTGTAAAACTTAATAAAAATTGTTTGATGCTGTTAGCTATCCTGTCGTCGTTAAGAGTCTCAAATCGACGTGCTAAACACGCCAAATTTTTATACACGTGAAGGTGAAAGAACTGAAGTATAATTTAAGAACGAAAAGAAATCGTGCCATCCTGGATTTAACAGCAGCTTCCTGCTAGTACTATTTAAAAATACAGTTTTTTCTTACGACGAACATAAGTTTGTATCTTCCCGTCCTTAAAACTGGTTTTTTTCTCAGTTAAGATAAAATAAAACAGGGATTTTTGAAGATGTACCATGGATTTCCTCTTTTTTGCTAATGCTAAACTGGCAAGGCTTTTCCGCATGAAATTCTGATGTATTAAACGATGAGGCCATTAAGTTCAGAATACCAACAGGAATGGTATGAAAATTACTCCCACCAGGGTGTAAAAAATGAGGGCGAAGCGGATTTGGAAGGGTTGGAGCACCAATAGGGTCCAAAGGACTTTATGCAAGAAAAAAATCACCGAATTTTCTTCATCTCCAGCAAGGTAAGATATTAGAGAGCAATGTTACATGTTTCTTTCTTCAAATATAACACTCTCTGTTCTGTTTGGCACATCTATGGTGTTTACAGCAGAAGAGCCTCCGTCATTGGCATTTTCAGCACTATTATTACTTCTTTTAGAAACTTAAGACATCCCCCACATCAAATCATTAATTTTTGTCCCACAAGTGTGCAAAGAAGCATGAAGCTGAAGGCATCCAACGTAACTGCAAAAGCTGCGCAGATTGAGTGAGAAAAAGACGACTTTTCAAAGGCATCGGAAGGGACAGTGGCGGTCATAATATAGGCGATAAGCTTCTAAAATTGCTTCGATCAATGTAACTTCGTTTACTAAAGGAGAATGAATAAAATAAAGAAATATGACAAAGTTTTTTTATTGAATCGGTGAGAAAGCCAACATTTTATAAAGATCATGAAGTTTATTTTAATTTTAAACTGCTGAAAATAAAAGAGAGTGAGAAATTTTTAGTGAACTTTACGTCAGTTTTACTCGAGTCGCATACTGTGCTATGCGACCATAAATACTGCTGAAATCTCTAGAAAATATGAGTTACTTCCTTCTGCCGGAGGAGACTGGGCTTATACCAAATATGGAAAAGTCACTGACAGAAAAAATACAGCATTTGTAAAACCTTTTTCCGGAACTGCTGCAGTTAGGCTTCCCAGTGTGCGAAGCTGGGGGATAACCTCTTCCATGAATATCCTCGTTCTATGTGAAGAAGGCTCACTTTTCATTCAGATCTTTATAATGAATTCTTTTTACTGAACTATTGGCCAGCTAGTTTCTTATCGAGTCCACTAACTGCTTACACCTATCTTTAGACAGGCGGCTCAATTTTTGTTTAATTCTTCGTACTCAATTCTTTTTACCTATTTTGCAATAACTGAAAAAAGTAGACTTATATTTCTTAATCCAGCTGTTACCGACTACTTAGACAGACTCAAATTCCAATCTATAATTACAAAGCAGTGACAAGATGCTAACAAAACCGTAGCAACAATTTCAGCGAAGAGAGAGCAGAAGCAAAATTTTGATTTTTTTAGCGCTCTTTGACCTAAAAAATTGAGTGAGATGAGCTGCAGTTCTCGTGTACATACGAATTATCAGTGAGTGTGTTTTCTGGCTCACAATTTTTACAAAGTAAAGGAAAAACTTTTAATTCAGTGACTTTTTATTAAGGAACTGATCCAACTGCAGCTTGTTTTGCCTAACCAAGCTAAAATTACGGTTTATTACCTTTACTATTCCGTCCATTCACTGTATGATAAAATCATGACTGTCACAATACAAAAATATGCACGTTTCAAAAAAACATTCCTTGGAAATTTATTTAGTCACTTATACAATGAATCAATACGGTATACAGTTGAGAAATGTTACATAAATTATAATAAATTTTTTACGCTTCTCAAAAAACGATCAAGGAAGATGAAAAATGCAAATAGAAATTTCTTCAAAAGCTGGATTCATACTCCTCAAATTTCTAGAACTGCAGAAAACGAGGGTCATCTACCCTCATTTATGCTTCACGCACAGAAGAAATTGGTGTTGTGAGATGGTTTAAAATGACAGTTAAACATTAGACCCTTAGGCGCAGAATTATAGATAATTTGAAAAGCATCACAGACGAAAAAGAGCAACGTCGAGAACTCAATTATAGGAAAAATGAGAATAGATTACTGGGAAAAAAACATAACACACTTAAGTTCAACAGCATCTATTTCATTCTCTGGCAGTTAAGTAAAAGTATTTGTAAAGAAGCAGTACAAGAGTGAAACATACGCAAATCACGCATTCCACATTAACCAAGTGTCTGCGTGAGAGTACTGTAACTGACGCACCGATAAGTTCAGCCTACTAAATTTCTTCCTTTGAAAAATGGTACTTGCTTTAAGAGCTAACTTGTATTTTAGAATCAGTGAACGACAGTAAGTCAAATTAGCCGCAAATTTGCACTTCGCGACCCTTATCCTTCTCGGGTTTCCTGTCATGAATAAGGTTTTTCAAATTTCTATTAATTAGAACTTACGCAGTTGTTGAATAAATTTGTTTTTTCTCATATTTGGATTAGAGTTATCGCTGGAGGTTTTTCAACGCGGAAATCGTAAATAAATAAAAAAACTTTTAGTGTGAAAACTGTTGTTTGCTTAAAACTTTTTTCATTTTTTGGCTTTTTTGACGCTCAGAGAACGTTCTGTACGACTTTTAATGCAGATTCACACAGGATAAATATACCAAACTTTTATCCCACCTTACGTTAGCGAGATCTGACAGGTCAGTTAAAGTAAAGAAAGGTACTTGTAATTGTGTTCTACAGATACAAAACTTGTGAACTTCTGTCCAAAATGAAGAGAACCAACTTCTTCTGTAGTTGCTTGTCGAACAATAACTCGTGACTGCTATGCGGTTCACTCATTCAGATTAAAGTAGTCAAGCCGAAATTTATAAATAACGTTGCTAGAAAAAGCTTACACAAGGCTTTTGAGATCCAACAGTACTGGAGTAGCACTGCAATTGAGGGCTTAGCACTGAATAATCTAGTATACCACAAGTGCTTTATGAATCAGAGGTTATGTTGCTTGTCTGAAAATGCAGTCCTTTTGTTCCTTCTACATTTCTGAAAATAACTTTCGAATTTTTAGCTCGTACAACTGCTTGAATACAGTCTTAAACTAAAATCTGTTACACCAAAAACTTGAGTGAATTCTTCACTTTGCCAGTAATTCCAATTGGTCTTTGATCAAAATTTCCGACTGGCATTTTTATGAATCACATTGGCTGCAATCCTTTTTTGAACTGTTGGTTCCTGACAGTTTTCTCATTTATTTTAAAAATGAAGGAAAAGTTTTACTTACAAAACGAAGTATCGTAATGTACCTTTCTGATTAATAGTTGACCGTTTGTTTTAGTTTTACTGTACACTTAAAATAGTAAATCTGTGCCTTCTGAAAAGCTAAACCTGGTCTACATCCAATAAACTACTTGGTTTATCATTAGATTCTTTTAAACCGTTGTAGCAAGCCATAGCTAATAAGAATATATAACAGTGGTAAAAAAACTTTCGCTACAGATACTTTGGGAATTCCAGGTTGTTTTTACAAAAAAAATTTTTCGTTTGGTGATTCCTATAATTTCAAAATACCGTTTGTATCTAAAGTTATCCAGAACAGAGAAATGCCAAACAACGCCTTACTTTATTTATATTTATCTGCACAAGTCACCTTTAATTGTTAAGAGTATAGAGGATTACTGAAGCAGTTGTAGAAATTTTTAAATTAAATTGGCAGAATCTGTCCAGAAATGAATACGACTGGGAGATATCAACGTGAGCCAACAATGTTGCAACAGGCCCATTGCTGTGTTATACACCATAGTACTTCAAAAGCAGTCGGTTGCCAGTGACATTTTAATCCTGTCTCGAATTGTCAGTCGGATTTAAAAAACTGTTGTTTGCACTGGATTGCTGGAAAAGCTGTCTGAATTTCACGCTATTTCCACTTTATCCTTCATTGCGCCATAAATTTGCCTTTGTAAACAGTAGCATTTAATTATATGCGACAAAAAAAAAAAACAGTAATAAAACGGAAACTATGAAATGAAGTAAACAGATCTGTCGCATCGACTGATTTAAGTACAATAATGATTGTAAGCTCACTGACCGAGAATGCGGCACGCAGCAGTAACCAAGTTATGCTGTACAAAACCTCGTTTTTTCAGGTCAGCACCTAAGAGATAAAAGCCATTCTTAGCAAAGCGTATGCAACCACAGCAAAGTTCCAGATCATTTGTTCTGACCTTTCAGTCAGATCTTGACAGCCATGTTTCTTAATTCATTCCTTTTTTTTTTTTTTTTTTTTTTTT